ATATATATATATATATATATAATATATATATATATATATATATATATATATATATATATATATATATATATATATATATATATATATATACACATACATATATATATATATAAATATATAGTTAAAAGAAAAACTTATCGATAGGGGACTCAACTACACAAATACTAAGCAGAAGTATTGTTTTGGTCTCCCTTAAGCAGTAGTACTGAGGGACCAATTTCACTAGTGAAGAAGTTACTGCTTGCTGACTGTCTGCTTTTGAATTAGAATTAAACTTCCAATAGCAAGTTTTGTTATGTATCGTATAAGGTTTAACAAATTCAATCTGTTTTAAGATTTGGCTCCTTAGATGAACAATAAGTAACAAAGGACTGAAAACCAATATACTAAGAAAAGGTTACCGAAGCTGGTGCTATTGAAATAATCAATATATTTATACTGACAATCTTGATAGAAAAAACACTAAATCAAATATATAGAAAACTCTATTAACTTACAGCACTAGAATTTGTATAATAAGAGAAATGTAAAAATATTTACACACACACACACAGAGAAAACTTCTCAACAAACTTTCCCAATCAAGAGAGGTGGAGAAGAAGGTGGTAGGATGTTGCACAAAGGTAATTGGTGCCCTTATATAAATAACAATAGGGGAGATAACTCTATGACACACCTCAGCATTGAACTGAAATTGAGGTTATCAAATTCTACAAGCAGTGCTGGGCTATAACATTTATTAATTGCTACGTCATGATAGGGGTTCTAGTCTGACTCAAGAAGTATTACTGTGTCTTTTTTTGTTAAAGTAAAATTGCCATGAATGAAACACACTATTGACAGAAGCACAATATACATTTCAATATTAAAGGTATTTGGATTTCTTACAATTTTTGTTCTTGAACCTGATAACCTAGTTTAAATGAACATATTTATTGATAATTGAAAAACTAATATGTATCAAATTCAATGTAAGCACAAATTAAAATGTATTGATTTTTTAATATTCAAGATATTACACACTAGTTTATTTTTTTCCTATGAATGCTTTTTATATTTATATTTTTAAATAATAAAATTAGGAAAGAAAATTCCAGTGTCCCAGTGTGGTGTTTACTATTCCTTTTAAACCAGTTTAAATCATATTATTTCAAATAAAAAAAACAAACAAATTGATAAAAAACTTGTAAGCATACTTCTTTATTTAATTTCATAAAAGTACATTAAACATCACTATTAACATTCACACAAAATCTTAAACTTAAAGCTAATTTGCGGAACTTTTTGAATCTAAGTCTAACACATGGGTTAACCGTTTTTCTGCGCAGCACTCTGTCATGATTTCAAAACATATCCCACACCCCCATCTTGATTTCAAAACATCCTCCACACCGATTAAGAAATTCTAATACAAATTCAGATAAATATGATTTTTCTGTGTCTTCCCACTCACTGACACCTCCTCCCACTTCCGCAGGAGGTGCAGGATGACCCTGGTTAAGAATCCATGTTCAAACAAAATAGTTTCATTACATGTTTTAAAAAAATGCTGTTAATTTAACATTTCTTTTATTAATAATTAAGTGAGTTTTCTTGCCTATTTATGGTGGAAAATCGAAATATTTTTAATATCTAACACTTTTAGGAAAATCACCTTTTTCCTGCTTTTGTCCGGCTAACTTCCATCTCATAAGCATCCAACATTGATTCCAGTGTTTGGTATTTATCCATACAATTAAGAGATGAAATAAGTTCATCTAAGCCTTCTCCTCCAAGCATGAATTCACTCAAATTAGAATAATTTTCCTTCAGCCGATGGTCTGTTATTCTGTCCTGTTGAAAATTATATGTGCGAATTTTTTCTGATCGTCCCTTACTTCCAATCTGCATTTTTCTTGTTGACTTGCGTTTTATCTCTTCTGCTTCAAGTATAGTCTCAAAAATCCTTTTGAAAAAAGTTATAGAAAGATTAATGATGGCTTAACTATTGACTTTTTTGTTACAGTTTCATTTTATAATATTTATTATTTCAGATTATCTTGAGTTTCCCAAATGATATTTATCATCAAGTAAAGGTTTTCATTGATAGAATGACATTACCTAAAGGCTATAATGTTGTATACCAGCCATCAAGTAATGATTCAAAAATCAGTTTATGCAAAGGTCATTTAATTGTGAGGTAAAAGATATACAAAAAACATATTGTTTAGGCATTTAGAGAAAATCAAACTCAATCAGAATTATTGTTTCTTTACATTGCTAATTTGCAGCAATTCTTATGAAAGCACCAAAAAAATAAACCTTTGCTAGAATCTGGTCAACAAATTACCCAGGTTCAAAATGTAAACAAAACAACTTTAGACAATGCTCTAGATTGAGCTTAGAAGCTGACTGACCTGAGGGTATTCAAAGGAAATTAATTTTATTTACTAAGAATAGACTGTGAAACATATTTAAGAAACAAACCTGTGAGTCACATCAAAATGATTATATATCTGTATTGCCCCAAATACTGCCTTCAGAGAAGAGGTCTTAAACTTACTGTGGTTAATCTTTCAAATTCTAAAAATCTACCACTGCATCATAAGTTGGCATTAAAAAAATTAACATTTCTCTTAAAATTCTCTTTTTTAAAACTCCATCTCATATTAAGCCACTTTCAAAGCATTCAACTTTACTTTAGCCCATCTACATTAACCTCTGACTAAATAGATATATTCAGACTCCAAAGTCTATCGAGCCGTCGAGTGGGCCTTGAGACTACAAGGGTCCTCTGATATTTCAGGCCCATAGTTGTGAGGAAAAATTACCATCAACATTAAAGGCTTATGGTACAAATCAAAAAGTGGCAGGGAGGTCTACAAAGTAACCTGATGGCCCTGCAACCCTCCATTTAAAATCCATCAAATCATCATTATCTATATTCAATCAATAATTTAGGATTTTCATCGTCAGCATTTCATCCAGTTCTATCTCTTTGAATTACTGAACTGAATAATGCAGCTGTCCTCAAAATTTTTGTCTCCAGGGAACTGTTTTGCAGAAGAAAATTTTTCCAAAGACCGGTTGATGGGATTTTGGGTTAGATTCAAGTGCAAAAAAAAAAAAAAACGGGCACTCACTGTGTGACCCAGGTATAGGTCCATGACCCGGTGGTTGGGGAGCCATGGACTTAAGTATGAATATGTTACTTTTATTTGCTTGTTTAATTATGTATCTGCATTAGTACATAATAAACCTGTTGATGAATATATAAGGACAGCCTAAATTGTCAACGTATGAATAAATACATTAAAAAGGGAAGTCTTATTGTTCTAAAACAAAGAAAATAATGATCCTACCTTAATTTGAGCCTTTTCATGGCAATATCCTTATTTTTGATTTGTGAACGCTCCTGTTTACATTCTGACACAGTGCCTGTAACAAAGAAGACAGTTCAAGGTTTATTACTATGGAAAAAAAGGCTTTCTTTAAACATCCCTTTAAAAAAAAAAAAGAATTCTAACAAGGCAATTTTCTCAAGAAAATACCAACCATTTCAACCTCTATGACAAAACGTGGATTCAAAAACTTGAATTTATTCAAGGTGAACAACGAACTGATATTTCAATGATAATTTCATGAAATATTGACAGGTGTCTTGTATACACCAGAAAAAGTTGCGGCATAAGATAAACCTGACAGCCCAACACTCCTTACAGTGGTATCAAGTTGACCCATAGTTTGTGATCCAGCAATTACAAGGACCATTAGGAAAAGAAGTTAAGGATTATCTCATGTCACTGAGACTGAGCAAAGGCAAACTGGATGCAAAACTTTCATGTTCATAATAAAATCTTATAAAAAATACTACAGTTAATATTTATTATTTAACTGATGTAGTTTTTCTATAATGTTTAGTATTTATCATTTATTCAAATTTTGTAATATCTGGGCTTACAATTTGTCCAGACTATCAAGTTTCTATTGTGTATGAATAAAAATTCAATTCAGGCATTGTTAATTAAAGGTTTGTTATATCCATATATGTATAAATCGAGACGACCAGTAACTTCTTAGCTATCAAGTTTTTAAAATTTATTTTTAAGACATATTTTACACTGTGGTGTGCTAGAGCAGCATGTGCTGTGGATAAAAAGTGTTTTATAAAAAGTTTTAAAAACATTAAGGTTTATCAAGATACATCATACCTGTGGGAATATGAGTTATCCGCACTGCACTGTCTGTTGTATTAACAGATTGTCCACCTGGGCCACTGCCGCGAAATGTTTCAATTTTCAAATCGTTTTGCTGTATATCAACGTCTATCTATATAAAAAAGATAAAAATGTTAATTGTAATAAAATAAAATCCCTGTTAAAAAATGGATAGTGTCTATGTTTACTTTTGGTACAAGCTCAAACTTAAAATATCACTACTGAAGAAAGGACTGACTTTTGCATAAATTTTAATCAAATATTTGAACACTTATATTCATGATCTTAATTCTTAAAATAAATAAACCAAAAGTTTGGATACAACAATGACTCACTTCATCGGGTTGGGGTAATACCGAGACTGTGACTGTGCTGGTGTGGATGCGTCCAGCTTTTTCAGTTTTAGGAATTCGCTGAACCCTGTGCACACCGGCCTCGTGTTTGAGATGTTTATAAACTGCCTCACCACTAACTTCCATTGTGGCTTTACGGGATCCCCCTGCAGAGAGTATGAAATTCTAAAAGTAAAATGAGTTTAATAGGGTGATAAATATCAATGAATGAGTTCTAGGACTGATGAATACATAGTCTCATGTTGACTGAACCATAAATATTTGAGCTTTTTAAGATTTTCTTAAGCATTAATGACTTATATTTTGGATAAAGAATAGGCTTTTTCTAAATAATAAGCACATTTCTATAACTTTTTAAGTGGAATTTCACAGCAGTTCTTAAATTTAATTATGAATGGCTGAATTAATGACATTTCATGTCAAACGTGTAATTAAATCTTACCATATTTCATCCATTAACATAAAAAAAATGCAAATAAAAAATATGCACATATTAAATACAGTTCTTTAATTAGGGAAAGCTGGCTGAAAAATTGTATAAAGTAGAAATTATTGCCATAATGATACTGGATCAAAGTGTGTAAGTTAATAGGGATGTTTCTCCAAAACCCTTAGCCTAATTAATCATATTACAAAATATTTTTCTACATGAGTTATACTGATTATTATTAAGCAGATCCTAAGCAAATTTTGTAAAAATTATAAGCCACAAACCTAATTCATTTTCATCATTGGAAAATCCAGTAATTTCCCAACCTTTGTGGTTTGCATAATTATGGTACAAAGCAAACAGCTCAGCACAAAACAGCATGGCTTCTTGACCTCCAACCCCTGCTGTTACCTCAAGGACAGTGGCTTTGTTGTCAGCAGGCTCTTCACCCACAAGGACATCAATCAACTAAAAATATAAATAAATATCCTATTAAACGGATAAAAAATGTTTATCAACTTTAAACATTGAAAAGAATATACATGTAATTCTAAAGCAATGCCCTTCTACTCACTATGATTTTCTTCCTAGCTGAACTATTTCTGGCTTTACCGATGACATGTTAAAAATGAAACCTCATTATGACCTTAAAAATTAACTTCATGTGTTTCACCTCAACAATGCTAGATCTATATAATACCAGATAACAACTTCAACTAATTTAGTTTGGTAAGTACCTCTTCCTCTATGCCTTGAATTTCTTCTTTGTATTCAACAATTTCTTTTTGGATCATAGATTTCATATCTACATCTTCTTCAACTGAAATAAAAATTGATTATTTAATAACTTGAAATGTCAAATTTTCAACGGCCACCAACCCCTAGAACCCCGGTGGCCAATAACTTAATTTTTTAAGCTACACTTGTTGCCATCAAACGACTGCGATGGCCTGGCCACATTCTTAAAGTTATTAAATTCAAACTACTACTGTAGACTTATAACTGGAGTAAGCATGTTAGTGATTGTATGACCAAATTTAAGCATAAATAAAAGGAGAAAACTGTTTTTGCAAATGCTGTTTTGTGCTGAGCTATTTGCTCAATAAGACATTTTGCAATCATTCTGTTTTACAGAGTGCTCAATGTGGTTTGATTAAAAAAAAAAGGTATTGAGAATTGAATATTCAGATGGCCACATTTTCTTTATCCGATGACCTAATGTTTACTTGACGTGAACAACAATTTTTACACACGTTTATGTCTAATTTTTTTTTCCTCAACTGTTATATGCCCCTGCTGAATTTTCTGTTGCTAACTTAACTATGCTTTGAGTAAGAGGGCAGGTGGATACATTTTGCCTTCACAGTAATATTTTTAACTACTGGTACATGATCCATATCTTGTAGAAACCAGTACTTTGTAGTTGCATGATTTTTATCCTCATCATACTTGATGCTTACAGTTCTCACCCATTGCACAGCTCAAAGGAAGATTGTTACTTTCCTTAAAAGGGACTATTAACTAGGACTAGGACAGTGTTTCTCAAAACAATTTATACTCGGCACCAATGTTCCCTCTAAGGTTTGCTGATTTGTGTGCAAAATCATACCGTTGTGTGCAAAGTTTTACAGCATCAATATCTTGTGTGCAAAATTTTACAACCCACAAACACACACACGGAAATTACATTAATGTACTTAAGTGCAAAAACTTTTATATACATAAATAAAGGAACTATAATTAAATAATTATAATCAGAAATGTGACAATAGTTCAATCAAAGCTATATTTATTTCTATTATTCATCCCGTCGTTGGGTCAAGCAACTAAGTTCTAACACACCCACTACCAACGGCCATTTGATTGAATCTCTTCTGGAAGTAATTTGGCGTCTGTCTTTCGAAGATATCGATCTTTTATACACATAGTAAAGTTTGATCTGATGTCCATCATTCTAAAGTGATTTAATCCTCATAAGGATATCTAAATGTAACTATCCCAGCCTATTTCTAGATTTTTAATTTTTAAAAAAAATGCATTAGGCTGATTTCACATTCAAAATCGGCATTTGATGCAAGAAATGTACCACAAATATGCAACATAATGGATATGTCGCCGAATTGCTCCTCATTTCTTACAAATCGAACCATCTCATCAATAGTCTGCATCAACCAACATGTCATTTTCTCTGCAAGCACAAACCTTAAGTTACGATACTGGTCCTTAAATTTCGCCAGAATGTCATCATAATTTTCCAGGAATGCTGAATATATAGAAACAAGTGGTGAGGTTCTTTTTGGCCCAAATTAAAATCTGAAGCGTCGATTAACGCTGATATTTCAAAGATTCGCAATTGCATCAACTCACTTTCAGGGAAACGAGAGTCCAGGTGCAAAAATAAACATCAAGAATTTCAGGATGGAGCTAATGTTTATATCCTCGTCATTTGCAAGCAATTCAGCAACCTCTTCGAACCAGTGCACATTTTTATATTCAAACAGTACTTATGAACTGAATCATTATACAGGCCCGCCTGCTCTTCACATTATTCAGTCAACACTTTTATGTTTCACAGCAATGCTCGTAAAGCAAAGTGCAGCGAAAGCCATCTGATTTCATTCAATGGTCTAAAGTCTAAAGGCTACGGAATCACATTCCAACACCTTAGCTAGATCGGTAAACTGGACTTTCGGTCGACCTACTGAACAATGTGTACACTGTCCTATGGAATGTTTCAATGTCTGACATTAAACTTACATGTTTGCCACATAATCATTTTCTGCATGCCCAATGATTTCTCTTGATACAACTCTGTTTTTGCTGACTCCAAAGATTTCTGTCACATGCCGACAGAGACAAAATTCCAACAAACACTGTCTTGTAAACATTACCGGGATATGGCCGAAACTTTGCATATAAGTTAAACATTTTTGTCAGTGATATATCAGTGCTCTCATATACTATACTGTTAATGTGCAGAACTTTCCATTGCGAAGTTCACTAATTATTGAATTCTTCACTACAGAATCGATAGGATCAACAAACTCAACAGCGTAATTCTAACTGCACAAGCTATCAGGAACTAGAGGATACTAAACCATATGGTTGTTTATTTATTGAACCGTATTCATAGTTTGTCCATGTTGATAGCCAAGAGGACGTGGTCAATCAAAATTTTAACCTAATCTTCTTTAGCACTTTTACGATGTGCTGCTTCTTGTCTCATGTCTCGATCAGCGACACTTTCTGTAAGCATCCGCCGTACAACGCCTGACTATATAGAACAAAGTCTCTGTACGGCATCTGTGTGGAGAATTCTCCACCAGCATTTGCTTTGCAGGTCACTTCACAAACAACATCATCGTCAATATCACGACATTTAAAAATATCACCCAGCTTGAGATTCCCCTCTGATGATGAATCTGGTATTTTGACAGTCAGCTCCAACGACCAATCTGGTAGTAATGCATGCAAAAATTCATTGAGCAATTGCGTTTTAAAATTTGATCTACACTTTTTCTTAGCTTAGCAAGCGATGACGCCCACAGTTTGCTTAACTGACGGTTAGAAATAACGGTTAAAACATTATAAAAAGTAATTAACTACTACATTAATAATAAACTAGAGATATGTGATTTATTCACTTTATGCACATTCACTGTGCAGTATTCGTCAAAAAATTTACATGAATGGCGGCTGTGGTTCAGAACGAGGCTAGCTTTATCCAGTATGTATCCATAAGTATGTAAATCAATAGTTCTACGCAAAAAGTAGAAGACAAAAATATAGATCTGAATCAGAATTAAAAACATGGATGTATATACTATAAAAACTGTATGATTCCTGCTGCACAGTGAAGCGTATCTGTTTGAATTTATTTTTATAAAAATTTGCTGCGCGGATACTCAAAACTGCAGTGCAGCGTCTGTGAGATAGCTGCGCGGCCACGCAGCTTAAAGGGAACATTGCTCGGCACCTCCTTTACTTGTGGCCCTCTTGGGTTATTAATATAAAAAAAACTGCTCTTTTTATATACCTAGAATCCATTATTCCTTTTTTAGTGGCCTTCAAGATTAGATGCTGTGGCCTCCTGGGGGCCATATCCCTCATATTGAGAAACCCTGACTAATTTTAAGGCTTAGTCATTTCAGTTTTGTAACTAGGAAATAAATAATATAAACCACATCCGAAATTCAGATAATTATTTAAATATTTAGAAGGTGAAAGAAAATTATTTTAAAATGCCTAGTGGGTGCTCAGCACCCCAAGAGTGAAAAAATAAGTCATGAAAACAATATTCCAATATAAGTACCAGTATCTAGAAAAGTATCTAAAACTGTTTGAACCTTATAATATACTAATTCTAAAACTTATTGTTAGCTAACCATTTATTATATGAGTGAGCTCCTGTAGTTCCACTTGCTTTTCTTGCAGCTTTTTAATAATGTCAACAACTGAGTTCAAAAAATTAATCCTGAGTTGTCTCTGTTCGATTTGTGTGTTACCATCACCCTGCATTGTTTCATGCAGCTCTTTATGCTCATCAATCAAGCTTTTTAGGAAGGAAACATACAACTGATTGTCCACAGTAAATATAGATGGTGTATGTTTGTTTCGAATATTGCTAGAGCCATTGCTAACTGCTAATATTTTAATCAAAGACCACTTCGTGAAACAGGGATGCACAAATTGAAAATGGTGAACATTTCTAAAAATTCCAAAGAAAGATTTGGAATGAAGCCTTGGATCCTTCTCAAGTGAAAACGTATTATAGTGTGAGAGCAAATGATGACATCTCTTAAAAGAATTTTTCAATCTTCCATTTAAAAGTTGGGTGGAGTATATATTCTGGATCAAGAAGGTGGAATTTCTTTTACAAAAATATAATGGTGAATTCATGATGATCCTATCCATTTTTAAGACCCATCTGGTAAATACAGCAGCATTTTTATTACAAATTAATTTGTAACAGTAGTTAGTGGGTTGAGGACATTCATTAACTTAGCAAGTGGTAATGTGTATCTCTTTGCTCTTGAAATAGTTCATCAGTACCACATATGAGCACCTGCAATGAAACATAAAATTGCTAAATCATTTTATTTAAGCCTAAATGTTAGGCTAAACATTTAAATTACAAATAATAATGGCAATGTGGAATACATTACATCAGACAAGAGATTGATCTTACTGAAACCTCAGTCTCGGCATAATTATCTGATATTGAATATTGACTGGTTATTTCTTATAATAATAAAAGAAGTAACCAGTCTGGTATCAGTTAATATTGACAATAAGTTTTACAATTACAAAAAATTACAAGTAACCCCTATAGCCTATATTTATTACCGTAGTATTAGTATTAGCTTAAAACAGTAAAGTAAACTGGAGAACAGCGCATGTCACTCCAATCTACAAGAAAGGGGCGCATTCCGACCCTGCCAACTATCGTCCGATTTCCCTCACCAGCGTGGTATGCAAACTGTTGGAGCACATAATCGTAAGTGCAGTCATGAAGCATCTTGAAAGCCAAGATATACTCAATGACTGTCAACATGGCTTCCGAGTCAATAGATCATGTGAGACCCAGCTCCTTGAATTTGTAGAAGACTTGATGACCAATCTGGAAAACCGCAAGCATACTGACGTGCTGGTGATGGACTTCTCAAAGGCTTTTGACCTAGTCAAGCATAGTTTGCTTTTACACAAACTCCAGAGATATGGGATCCAAGGCACTACTTAAACATGGATCTCTAGCCTCCTTAGCAACCGATGCCAAGCAGTAGTGGTGGATGGTACAAGCTCCTCCTTTGTTGATGTTAAGTCAGGGGTTCCCCTGAGCTCGGTGCCAGGCCCCTGTTTGTTCCTAGCATACATCAATGACCTACCCGAGAAACTGATATCCCATGTAAGACTGTTCGCAGATGACATGGCGGTGTATAGGACGATCACCAACAGATCTGACCAGGACCAGCTACAACAGGATCTCAATCGGTTAGCTGAGTGAGAGATGAGCTGGGACATGGAATTTCATCCTGCCAATTACCAGACACTGTCAGTCTATAGAAATTGTAGTCCTCAACACCACCATTACGAACTGCATGGCCATATACTTGAGCTAGTTTCCTCTGTAAGGTACCTGGGTGTTACCATTCAAAGAGATGTCCGCTGGGACGAGCATATTAACAATGTGTGTAACCAGGCAAACAAGGGTTCTTAAGATCGGCAACTCCAGTGCCAATGTGAAAGAAAGAGCCTATAAATCTTTTGTCTGGCCGGTTTTAGATTATGCATTGACAGGTTGGAGGCAGTCCAGCGACGGGCAGCATGCTTTGTCCTGAACCGTTACAGGAATGCTCTAGTGTTGGCACCATGCTGGAAACACTGGGCTGGTCACCGTTGGAGGAACAACTACGACTATCCAGGCTCTCCATGATGTACAAGATAAATAATGGGCTGGTCACTGCTCCAGCATTAAACAGAAACTAGTCGCTCTCCCTCATAGACAGCGACGAGGCCATGACAGGCAGTTCCGGCTCATACCTGCAAGAACCCAGTTTAGGACCTGCTCATTTCTGCCAAAGACAATCAGGGACTGGAAAAGCTTCCAAAGTCCAAAAGGAAGAGTTGAGGCGACAACACTTGACAGTACATTTCATCTGTTGCCTCAGGCCTTCCAACACCTAGTGGATGATACCATCACTAAGTAGCCCTTGCAACCATTGAAATAATCTCGTCAACATCAGGCACAGAAACATTCAAATTGCAAATCCCCTCCACATGCATAGGACTAGGAGTAGAAGCCAGAATGATCAATAAATTGATCATGGACCCTTAATATAAAGCAGAAGAAAAGTTAGTAAAACATTTTACTTTAAAATATAGCGCTTGATAAATGATAAAATGTTAAAGCTTGAGAAAAGAAAATGATTAAAGACGTCTTCCAGATTCTAGGCCCGGCACTTCAACAGCTTTAGTACTTTGTGTTCACTCTACTAGGCTAAAACTAAAAAGAACTAACGACTACTACTCCTACTACTAACTAACAACTAAAAATTAGGTAATTTACCACTTGAGTGATATTTTCAAGAACTTCATTCTCGCCTTGGGGGAGAACTATGCATAATGCCATTTTTACACATTACATTGTTTGATTTCTTCTATTTTAATTTTTTTTTTTTTAAATTAAATTGTTTTACATTTTCTATTTTTTAAAATTGTCTTGTGTTACTGTTATTTGTTCTACTGTATATGTGCTGGAACGAATATGTACAACGTCGTAAAAACAAGATAAAAATAATTGTTTAAATAGCCCTTCAAACCGGAACAGCTGGATTTTTTCTTGGCCGACGCTCAAGTGGTAAATTACCAAAAATTACTGTACTTTTAACTTTTAGTACTTACTTAGACTTAACAGCTGAAGTTCTTAACTAAGAAATAAAATAATTTAAATATTAATAATATTTAAATTAAAGAAAACTTTCTTTCAAAGACAAGTTTAAACCCACTATAAGTAGAAATGGTAATCTACCACTTGAGCGTCGGCCAAGAAAAAATCCAGTTGTTCCGTTTGGAAGGGCAACTTAAACAACTATTCTTACATTGGAGTCCATTAATATTTTTGCTTCCGTATAGGCTATTAAGTTGTATAGCACAATACAAATACATTTAAATAATTATTACTGCCAAACTACCGGTATGCCAGGAAGAAAAAGAAACTACAAAAGTGCCGATGTCCGAAATGTTTGATACAGATCAGATACGAAATGAAGAAAAATGGTGGCTGTCCACACTACTGCTGAATTTGTCAGACCCCTTATTCAACATCTAAGATGGTGCATTAACAATTTTTTTTTTTTTTTATCCAGATGACGCAGATGTCCACACACAGAATGTGGAAAACAAGGATGCTCAAAAAGCGTAAACTGAAAAGAAAGTTTGGCACAAGCCATGATCTTTCCCCTTCATATTTACGTGAATCCATGTACCACAACCGATTTCGTGGAACTTGTATTTTTTAAAACTTCATTGTCGCCTTGGGGGAGAACTATGCATAATTCCATTTTCAAACATTAAATAAATTGTTTAAATTTTTCTATTTCAAAATTTTTAAATAGTTTTTCTATTAAAAAAAAAATGTTCTTTGTATTAGTACCATTATAATGGGAATGAATACGTACAACCAATGCCATTATTATTATTATCATTAAAAAATAGTATATTTTTATACTGAATAATTGTTTAAATAGCCCTTCCAACCGGAACAGCTGGATTTTTTTCTTGGCCGACGCTCAAGTGGTAGATTACCCATACCGTAGAAATTTAATTTCTTTGTATCAAATGTGGGTATACATAACTTACACTTAATGATTCATCATATATATGTGTGAAATGTGGTTTGAGTGCACCTTGAAACTAAGGTGTAATCATGAAAATTCATCTATTTAAATTTAGCAGTTCTAGCAGTCTCCTCGTGAGGCATTCTATTTTCAAATCGGAAATATCCGAGACTGGAAAAAAAAAAACATTCGCCGATAGCTATAGTTAAGTATAAGAAATAGACGCAGTAGAATTACCCTTGGCCTTTAATTAAATTTAATTAAAAGGATCAATTTGTCCTCATCTATACATTTGTATGTTTGAATATTAGGCTGATGAATCTCAATAATCGAGAAAACACTATTTTTTAATTTATAAATTAGGTGAACCCCCCAAGCCCCACAAAAAAAAAAAATGAGAACAAATTAAATATAGTATAGTATTACATATATTACATTGGAAAATGAAACTATTTTTAGGCCTTTGGCTAAAATAGTTATTGAAATCTGGCTTGCGAGAAGTAATATTCGTGTGTCGAACTACTGGCATTTTCGTATTTTCAGCTTAAAAAGTAAAAAAGTTTCACTTTCAGTTAAATACATGTAAATTGTAAATGAAATTCGATCTAGACTAAGGCTTAGGCCTATAATTTATTAAATTTTAATTTTGGAGTAAGTCGGCTATTATTTATAACTAACGTTTTAAATCTAAGTCATTTTTGCCTCTTAGTTTTAGTAACATTTACTTCAACTTTTTTTTTTTTTTTTTTTTTGCCTGCCTATTAATTTAATTTTTTAGTTTTTTTATACTTTTATTTTCACTTATTTTACTTTTATTATATTTTAATTTTGGAGTAAGTTGGCTATTATTTATAACTAAAATTTTAAATCTAAGTCTTTTTTGCCTCTTAGTTTTAGTAAAATTTACTTCAACTTTTTTTTTTTTTTTGTATTGCCTGCCTACTAATTTAATTTCTTAGTATTCTTACACTTTCAGTTTCACTTAATCTACTTTGTGATAGTGACTTAGACATACTGTAGTCCTCACTTTCACTTAGTCTTAGTCTTAGTATTTGAGTAATTTATTTTATAAGGTAAGTGAGTCAAGTCATTACAATTACAATTACAGTAATTACAGGTAGGCCCTATGCCTAAATATGCACTATTAATAAAATATAATTATAAAATTTAGATTCATTTAAGTTTAAGACCAAACACGTTTAGTTAGTTTAAAGTTTAAGTAAAAATTAAAAGCTTATTTTTCTACTATTATTATTATTTTAATATAAAAAATATCACATACCGGTATTACTAATATTAGTATTAGTACTAGAACTCAATTCAATATTTTTCTCTTTTAAGTCTTTGCCATGGCCATGAAAAATGATTAAAATTAAAAGGTTCCCGACCCTTGGCCTAGGAAAAGTACTACTACTAGTAGTGGCAGTTGATAATTTTACCTATCTATATAAATATAAGAATTATAGATAAGTTGGTGGGTGGATATCAACCAAGCTATTCTCAATCCTCAGTCCTATGCTCAAAATCAGCAAATGCCTCTACTTAGAACTTAGACAAGCAAAAACATCTCTAGTAACTAGCACCCTGGGTGGGTGGGACTCGTAAACTTTGGATGGCAACTCATCTATGAGAAGGCAAAAATCAAACCCGGAGATGGAGTCCCCTAGGCTGTATGACATTGACTCAATGAAAATTCTGACAACTCCTGCAACATAGAATGCATGAAGGTCACTGTGAAATACACACACACACAAACTGCTGGTCATCTCCTACATTCTGGTCTATTTCCAGCTGTCTTGGCTAAGTCTATTGGATCAAATAGGCTAGGACGAAGGAGTGAGCTGACGAATTGATCAACTCTCCCTCATTTTAGACGAAATACATTCATCTTTGCTTGTGAAGGACAAAAATAACATTGATTTGTTAGTTCAATTAGTAAGGATGGGGGATCAGAGGCAGATATCGAGGCAAGAATACATAAGGCTGAGAAGGCAAAATGGGGTTTTGCTTTACTTAAAAATGTTTAGAACTATTACATATAAAAGAGAAAGACAAAGTTTTTAGTTTTAAAATATTTTTAACTGATGTATGGTTCAGAAAACTGGAGATCAACTAAGAAAGATTGAAAAAAACTTCCAAAGTTTCCTGCGTAAAATCCTCAACATGAAATAGTTCTACTAAATCCCAAACACAGCAGTGCGGGAAACGAGAAATCCTGACAAGCAATGGTATGGAACCCTCAAGGATCAAGAGGATTGAGGAAGACCCAAGAGCACCTGGTTAAGAGAGGTTGACAAGGAGGAAATAAAGATTGTCAAGTTTTGGAAAGAGAGAAGACTGTGATAAGTCTGATGACTAAGTTTCTCTCATCGTTATTCTTTCACACTTTAAAACATTGTAAGCCCATTAGCACGGAAAACAATGTTCCCTTCCAAGGAACAACATTAACTTAAATCCATGTTATTCATATCAACTTGTCTAACAATAAGTACAAACCTAGTGCAATCTCGCAGCTAGGGCTCTAGCCGGCATGTTTTTAATTAGCATGTCGACCAAGAGGCGTTTGGCCACAACCCCTGGAACGTTACCCTAGCGACATTACCACCGTGTAGGGGACCTGTGCTGCAAGGCAGGGGTAACGCTTGGAATCTGCGTTAAGGCGAGCACGATTACATGGCCCCCCACCAAGTGCAATCGACAAAAACTTTTTTTAACGCAGAAACAGGTTGGGACATGATTACAGTTGCAGTATGGATATGAGGTGAAGGCGTGTGGCAACCTTTCACCGATGATTCTAACTATGCAGTATTGAGGGTACTGCTCCTAGGCAACCTCTCTCTCCCATCTACGGTGCGAATTAGTCGCGTCGTAGAATAACCATACAAACCCTATTAGAGGGCGTCGGTTCAAACAGCTTCGCGTCTCCCCGGAGTGGGAAGGGGGGACTTAGAGACGTTAAATATATCCACTCCAAACCCCTAGAAAGTCCGGCCCGGTTGCTGCGTGAGCAACAGGCAACAGCCCGGCGGCCAGGTGTTTCTTCTCTGGAGCTGCCACACTCAGCGGCCAGTCGAGTGGAGGTCGGGTGTGGCGGTCTTAGGGGCGGAACGTCCCTGGCGTGCCGCTTCGCGGCCCGGTCGGAATAAAGACCACTGTGGGAGTGGTTGAGGGCCGATCTGGTTGGCAGGGTGGTGCGTCGGGTGGGACCATATGAGCCTCGGCTCGGTGTCCGCTGATTTTCTTAAGTTAGTTAGTTAGTGCAATCTCGCCAGAGGAAAACAATCACAACCTCCCTACTCAAAGATCAGAAAATATGTGCCATACCCATCTGCACACACAACACAAGTCTAGACTAATGCACATCACAGATCCATTAATGAATTTTACGAACACATCTTAAGGCAACAAGGAATCTTTAACAACTAATCTAACACCCAAGATGAACTGTGCACAATAAAACAAGACGCCCTGGAAGATTTGGAAAGAAATTGTTATTGGCCTCTGCTCCACTGGGAAAAGACAATCATTAAAAATGTCTTATGCCATGACTTAAAAAAGTATCAATGGATTTTTTTTTTAAATTCATCAAATTGCATTGACCAAATGTAATATTTTAAGATGGCTGATTCTAAAAATATAAAAGCTAAGAAATATAATACTTTTTTTTACTGCCATAATCAAACATACATTTTGTTATGTAATTAAAATTATATGATATGTATAAAATCAACTCATTTGATTTATTTAGTTTTAGGAAGTCTTTTGAGAACAGACAAAAGTTTTATGAAAGACAGTGAAGTGGACTTATGCTTGTAGGAATATTTATATTTCTTGTTATTTTTACCTGCTTGGGTGAGTACAGCTTATTCAATTTCTCTATTTTTGACCATGTTTGTGATTTACCATCAATCATGCTTAATTAGTTTTTTTGTACAGTTAATTTTGATTGTTAAGGAATTTCCAAAACAGTCACAGTTTTTGAAAAGCATTTTGTCCAAATTAAAGTCTGAGTTTCCAGAAATTTATGTGACTCGAATTCCATTCATAATGGTTGGCCACAATGACCTTAACTCTGGAGCTGTGTTTAAAACAAAGCAACTTAGTGATTTAAAAAAAAACAACTGTTAGATTGTACAACCAGAATTATTGTAAAATAACAAAAGCAATAATAATTTTTTTTTAAAGTTTTTGCATCTACATTTTTTTTTTCAGTCCACCAGGACGCATTTCAGTTTATTGAGTTAGATTTTTGTAAAGATATGAATTCTGAGGTACAAAAAGTAAAGGATATCTCAATTAATGAACCTGAAACTATAGAAACAAATATTGAAAATCAGCCAAAGGATATTTTCCAGTTAGGTTCCCCAAAAGATATCAAGTCGGAAGCAAAGGATGAGAATTCTGTTATAACAGAGAAGGATGCAGTGGTGGAAACATCTCCTGCAGAAAGGGATGGACAAGAAATTTCTATGACTGAAAATTCCGAAGCTAAAGAAGAATCACCAAAAGACACTTTCAATAACCAAGATATACAGATTAGGGAGACAGACAATAAAGCTGAACAATCCGAGACAGACAGTAAAGGTGAACAGTCTGAGACGGACAGTAAATCTGAGACAGAAACTGCGCTTGACCACTCAGTAGGGTGTACATTATTAACTTCAGGTCAGACAGAAATCCCTCTAGTTGAGGCTGAAGACAAAAGCAAGACAGGGAACTGTGATAGTAAAGATCCTTCAGATGATCATGAGATTGAAGATGTTGAAATGATTGATGATGCTAAACAAAATTTAGAAGAGTGTTCAGGTAAAGAAAGTCAGAATCAAGAGAAAATAATTGAGCAAGAGCAACTCATAACAGAACAAGTTGAAGAAGCTTTAGTGACAGATTCCAATTTGGAAACTCCTTTGGTGACACTTCATTCCAACTCTAAAGAAAGTCAGCCAAGTAGTGATACTTCTGAAACCCAAGAAGAGCAAACTGCAGAAGACATGGGGCAGTGTACAGGAAAAGAACAAAAAAAGGCGGAACACTCTGATGAGGTTTGTCCATTTATTTAATCTTACTAAACCATTTATTTAATATTACTAACCATTTATTTAATCTTACTAAACCAAAGGTGTAACTAAAGGATATTTCATATTTATAGAACTAATCTGATTGGTGGAGGTGTTAGTGCTTTTTTAAAAAATAAA